TCAGGTCATGATCCCAGGGTTCTGGGATCTAGTCCTGCATCGGGCTCCCTGCTCAGTGGGGAGTCTGCTTCTCCTTCTGACCCTCCTCCCCGCTCATGCTCACTCTCTTGCTCGCTCTCTCTCTTGCAAAAATAAATAAATAAAATCTTTTAAAAAAATTAATTAAAAAAATTAAAATGGATTTGGTTTTGATGATCATGAATTAAATTGGCAAAGTACATTATAAAAAGAATCATTTTCATTTTATCAGTTTATCAACACATAGGGGTAGTGTTACATATTCTAAATAGCATTATTTTATTGTGCTCATATTAAGTAATGTATTCATTAAAATAAGTTACATTTTGTAAGGAGGAAATTATGTTTAAATTATATATCATGTTGCTTTCTGAAGAAGAAACTTCAAAGATCTTCGGAATTCTTTTAGTATAAATAAACTTTTGTGTGTCTTTCTAGTTCTTTTTTTATTTTATTAACTTCATATTAATTGAGGGTCACTTATTTGATTTATTCTGAGTTGCCTTTTAGAATTTTAGTGCTTCTTTGGATCATTTTATAAAATTTAGAAAACTGATGCAATGAGTGGTATATAAAAGTAATAACATTGACTTTTGCTAAAAGACAGCTGCTATTGAAACGGAATTGTTGCCAAAGACCTTTTTAATGACTTAATAAAATGCTGAATTATTTTGATAATAATGTAAATGATCATTGAAGTAATATTTTAAAGTAACATCTGCTTTTCTTTGTATTGAAACTCAACAAAGGTAAATAGTTTTGTACAGTGTTCTCTTTATATTCATTTTTTTTCCTAAGGTAGTTGAAAAAATGTAAAAACTGGTACATGATAGAGAAGAGTTTCCTGTAAATACTTTTTGTCTTTTTTGGTATATAAGATTATATTTTGAATTGTTTAAAGATTTGATCATACATTAGGCTTTACCTTGATTACAAAATTTGAGTATTAGCAAAGGATAAAAATGAGAAGAAGACCATGTGTCAGTTATTCTTATGAACATACATATAGAAATCCTTAAAAACTATTTTTAAAAAAAAAATCAAGCAGCTTATCAAAAGAATAATAATTATCAAATAGGATTCATTTCAGGAATACAGGGGATGGTTCAATAGTAGAAAAATGATTACTATAATTTCACTGCATTGCGGATTAGAAGAGAAAACCATATATAAATTATCTCAGTAGATACCAAAAGTTCAGTAAAATTTAAACTAATTTTTGTTTTATATATTTATTTTTTTAATGACTTTTTTTTTTTTAATTGCTAAGACCTGGTGAGCTTTTCAGATTTCATCCTGCTCCAGGAATAATTAGTTTAACCTCATCTGTCTGGGTTATAGTTTACTTATCTCTAAAAAGAGGTCATACTAGTTTTTCCTTAAGGCCTTTAGCAGTCCCTATCTCCTTCCACCTCTTTCGTCCTAAAGCTCTCTCATACTTGTTTAAAATTGGACCTGAAACACGTAACTTTTTAAAAAGGGTTAATTTTATAATACAGAATGTTTTAACTTCTGATCACATATCTTTTCCAACACCACTTCCTGGTAAGCTCCAACTAGAGGAAGTTTGGGGCTGGAACTTACTTATAACCACAAGATCAAGAGTTTCATGCTCTATCAACTGAGGCAGCCAGGTACCCTCACCGATTTTTGCTTTAAAAACTTCTTTGGTTGTATACATTAAATATGTATAACTTTCTGTATGTCAATCATACCTCCAAGTAGTTAAAAAAAAAACCCAACAAACCAAGAACTTCTTTGATTCAAGAAATAGAAGGGAAAGTTCTTAATTTGATACAGTTATATATACCTGAAACTTATGTCAAGGATTGTATATAAGGATGAACAATTGGAAACATTACCATTAAAGTCAGGAACAAGACAAAGATATTTGCTATGATTGCTTGATTGCTTTTTTTTTTTTTAATATTAGGCCAGAAGTCCTATCCAATGCAATTAAAAACAGAAATATGAACCATAAGTATTGGTAGAGTAGAGAAAACATAGACATTATTTACAGATGATATATTTACTTACCTAGAAAATTGTTGTGAAGCAGCAGAAAACTATTAATGAATTCAGTAAAGTAGCCTGACACAAATTCCACATGCAAAAATGTATAATCAGTTACAAAATGAAATGGAAAGGAATAGTGACAAACTCGTTGAAATTCTTTAGAATAGACTTAGTGAGAAAGGTATAAGATAACTGATTAAGGAACCAAGGTCAATGGAATAGTGTCTATGAGTGAAAAAAAAATGTAGATAGAAACAATAACATAGATAAATCACCAAAACAGTATTAATCAACAGAAGCAAGATACGGAAGAATACGTGTTGTATAATTCCACTCATATAAAACTCAGAATCAGAAAAATATTAAGCTATATTGTTTAGGAAGGCATATGTAAGTTGCAAAACAATAAAGAAAAGCAAGATGGTAGTGAAAAAGTCAGGATGGGGGCACCTGGATGGCTCAGTCGTTAAGCATCTGCCTTCCGCTCAGGTCATGATCCCAGGGTCCTGAGATCGAGCCCCGCATCGGGCTCCCTGCTCAGCGGGAGGCCTGCTTCTCCCTCTCCCACTCCCTCTGCTTGTGTCCCCTCTCTCGCTGTGTCTCTCTCTGTCAAATAAATAAATAAAAATCTTAAAAAAAAAAAAAAGTCAGGATGGTGGTTACCTCTGTGGTATAGGTAGAATTTGTGGAAGGGCACTTGGAGGGATTCTGGGTGTTGGTTTGACTTCAGTTGTAGCTACATGGGTATTTCCTTTATTTTTGCTAACCTCAAAGTAGATCTTTTATCTACTTTCCTGTAGGTGACTTTATATCCCAGTTTAAAAAAAAAAAAAAAGGAAAAGAGATGGTTATGTGGAATAGAATAGAGAATTCTAGAAACTGACCCAGATGAGTGTGTGAATTTATTATATGATATATGAGGCATTTTAAACCGGTGGGAAAAAAGATGTATCAGACAATAAATTGTTAGGGGATAACTGAATTGCCTTGAAATCCTAGAAAAAACTTAGATTCCCAGCTCATTACGAATAAAAATTTATTTTAGATCGGTCTAAAAATAAAAGTCTACAAACATTTAAAAATCTAAATATAAATTAAAGATCTAAATCTAAAAATGAAACTAAGCGGCAGAAACAAAATATAATATCTAGGTTAAAATTTCTTCCTTAGCAAAACAATATATTCAGGTATCACAAAGGAAATGATTGGCAGATTTAACTATACATAAATTACAGACTTCTGTGCGGTGAAAGATAAAACAAACAGCAACTAGAAGAATGGGGAAAATATTTGTAGCATCTGTAATAGTCTTATTTTCTGCAATATGCAAAGAGCTCCTAAAATTGAACAACCCCACAATTAGATGAACAATTGGTATATAAAAGGAGAAATGTTAATGTCTCTATACTGGGAGATATTCTTAGCCTTTGTAAAAAACAGAAATTCAAGATAGATTGATAGTATTTGTGAGACTGTGAGTAAAAGAGCTCTTTGGTGGGAGTATTGGTGCAGACTCTTGGGAGGGCAGTTTTTCTCAACATTTTAAGTTGTGTTAGACATGTACTTTCATGTCTAGAAAAATTGCCCTTCTGAAAGGCTGGCATATGGCACAAAGATGTATGTACAAGGAAGTGCCTTAAAGCATATAGAGTAGGAAAAAAGTGGAACCACCTAGTTATCCATCCCTAGAGGAATGCTAAAATTAATTAATTATATCCATTGTATGGAATATTGCCATTGTTAATTTGCTTACTACAATGTGGAAATGTCAAGGAACATTGTTAATAGTAAAAAACATTTTTCCATCTAATAACACATTTTTATTACATTTATGTAAGAAGCATAAAAAGCTAAAATTCTATGTATGTATATATGTGTGTATATATTTAAGTGTGTCTTGGAAGGATACTCATGAAAATATTGACAGTGGGTACCTCTAGAAGTAGAGTGAAGTAGACTAACTTCTTACTATTGTTTGAATTTTATATAGTGAACATATATAACTACTTTTTAAAAATTTATCTCTAATATTGGGCTTTCTAAATGACATTGTTTTCAAATTAGAAAACTGAAAATTAATATCTGTATCCAAGGACAGAACTTAGTGATTGGGGAAGAACCCTTTTCCACAGTTTCTTTGAATCTAAGGTTCCTTTTTGTTTAACACCATATTGAACACTACAGTCATTCTTTTATTTTTAGGGATTTTATATATATATCTTTTGTTTGTTTATTTTTTCCTGCTCTAGTTTTTATTATTTCCTGGCTTTGGACCTTGTTCTTTTTCTAGCTCCTTTAGGTATAGGGTTAGGTTTTGTATTTGAGATTTTTCTTGTTTCTTGAGGTAGGACTGTATTGCTATAAACTTCCCTTTTAGAACAGCTTTTGCTTTATCCCAAAGATTTTGGACTGTTGTGTTTTCATTTTCATTTGTTTACATGTATTTTTTTTTAATTTCTCTTTGAATTCTTGGTTGACCCATTCATTGTTTAGTAGCTTATTATTTAGCTCCTTGTATTTGTGTTCTTTCCAGTTTTTCTTGTGATTGACTTCTAAAATCATACCATTGTGGTTGGAAAGGATGCATGATATGGTTTTAATCTTTTTGAATTTATTGAAACTTGTTTGGTGGCCTAACATTCTGGAGAATGTTGCATGTGCACTTGAATGTGTATTCTGAGGTTTTTGGATGGAGTGTTCTGTATGTATCTGTTAGGTACATCTGGTCTAGTGTGATTTTCAAAGCTGTTTCCTTCTTGATTTTCTGTCTGGATGATCTATCCATTGATGTAAGTAGGTGTTAAAAGTTCCTTACTATTATTGTATTATGGTAGGGATAATATATTTTGAAACAGAGTCATGGCAGTATTTGGCTTCACCTTTTTCTTATTTTAAATTTCCACAAATTTGAATTGTTCAAATACCTCAAAATTCTTATCTAATTTGTAGTTTTACTTTTTGTCCAGGCCCATCAAATCCCAGTGAAGAAAGTGAATCCTGGAGAAGAAAGGAGGAAAATGTTTGAGGTATAAAGACATCTGTCTGCTTATTTTAAAGCTTTGCAAAAACAATTCTAAGAAAAGAAACAAAATCTTATAAAACCTCCAAACCTTTCCTCCTTATTTCTTTCAAACAAATAAACCTTTAACTTAATCCTTTTTTTTTCCTTCCTAATCTCCCTGGGCCTACCTCTACCATTGGTATACTAAATTTCCTTATGAAACTAGAAAAAGTAGGAATTACTATTGATAAAAATGTTCTTTTTTATTTAAGGAAGCAGCAAGAAGGAGAAGGTTGGAATTTATTGAAAAAGAAAAGAAACAAAAGGATCAGGTAGTTTTTTTGCTTTTTTTCTACCCTTGCCAAGTTGTAGACGATAATAGTTTCAAGAGTTCTAAGAAGTTTGTCTTTAAAATTGTTACAGATTAGTTTAATGAAGGCCGAGCAGATGAAAAGACATGAAAAGGAAAGGGTAAGAGGATAATCCATTTTTCCACGGTACATCCTACCCCCTCCCCACACACATACTTTTTTTTCTCTAAAGGCATACACTGATTTCCATTGTGTTAGTAAATGTATTTCATGTATTTTATATTAAATACTTGAATTGTGTTTTGTTTGTTTCTTTTCCCCAAAAGTTGGAGAGAATAAATAGGGCCAGGGAACAAGGATGGAGAAACGTGCTAAATACTGGTGGAAGTGGTGAAGTAAAGGTAGGCATTGCTACCCATGTGGTTACACTGTTGTGGTTTTTTTATCCAGTTTCACCTTGCTCTTTGAAATGTATATAACTGGCTTTAGGAGGGGGGAGGTATTAACTTTTTACCTAGAATTCTTCATCTATTACAAATTCTTAGTTTTCCTACATGTATTTGATATCTAATTTGTATTGATAACTAATATCTGACACTGTTAAATTGTTTAAGAAGTTTGATGTGAAGGCTATGATATGCCATTCCTTCCAGAAGAATCTTTTTAAAATCAAATAAAATTTGTCACACCTCTGCCGAAAATCCTTCTATTGCTTCATCTAGCCTTAAAGATTAAGTTTTCTTAAGATCCTTGTTCGTCTGGCCCCTGCCTATCTCTCTAAGCTCATCTCCATCCATTCCCTACCACACGCTATAGGCTCAAGTGAGGCTGAACTAAAGACCATACTGGTAATTTTCTTACTGTGTGTAGCCTGCCTAATTTCTTTGTCTTTGCACAGTGTTTCTCTTTACTTGATGGCACCCCTCCCTTCACTGTCAATCCCACATCCAATGATTTACCTGGATAGCAGATTACCTAGGTAATCATTTATCTAGATATATTAATTGATATTTCTTTTGGGTAGATCTAGACTCTTTAACCTTGGGCAAGTTACTTGTTTTCTGAGCCGTAATTTCTTCATTTAAAAAAAGAAAGAAAGAAAAGGAAAGGAAAAAAAATTTCAAGAACAATACCTGGAGTGTGACTAGCAAGTACTCATAGGTTTAACTTCCTGTTTCTTTCTTTGTTCTGCTTATCTGAATCTTATATTTCCTCTTCTGCTCTTGTAGCATCCTTTACATATCTGTGGTAGGCTGAATTCTAAGATGGTCCCCCAAATTTCTGATTCCTGGTATAGATACCTTGTATTCCCTCCCCTTGGTGGAACCCTATGAATAGGGTGGTATTGTAGCTCTCTTGATTACGTTTTGTTACATGGTAAGTGGTGATGGGATAGTCACTCCTGTGATTACTGTTGATATTTGATGAGACTCCTCATAGCAGACTGGAAGGGGAGAAGAAAGTCTGAGAGACATGCTTCTCCTGGCCTGAAAAAAAAGCAAACATTCATGTTGCAGGGAAGTATAGGTGGCCTTTAGAAGTTGATAGTCCCCTTTGGCCAACAACTAGCAAGAAAGTGGTGACCTTAGCATTATGGCCACAAGGAAATGAATTCTGCCAGGATCCAGTGAACTTGAAAGAGGATCCTGAGCCTCAGATGAGAATTGCAGTTCTCGCTGATGCCTTCATTGCTGCGTGGTGAGATCCCGACCAGGAGACCCAGCTAACCACATCCAGACTCCTGAGCCAGGGAAACAGTGAGATAATAAATGGATATTGCCTTAAGCTACTAAGTTTGTGGTAATTTGTTACACAGCAATAAAGAAATGAATATACTTATATTCCTCTGTATTATAATTTTAATGTATGTTATCCAATCAACTTTTAGTCAGCATGTCTTTAAATTGTGAATTCCCTTGACCCAAGCTCTTAAACTTGGTATTTAGGTATTGAATAGATTTGTCAAATTGACTTGATTACCTTTTTTACTTCTTTTCCCCAAAAGTTATGATTTGAATAAAAGTTTGTTTTATATAAAAGATATGTGTGTTCTGTCCTGGCTTTCACATTTTTCATATTACATATTAATAATTCAGTAGAAGTCACTTTTTCTAATTCTGTATTAATATATTATACTGTTTTTAATAATATAAATTTATCTTTAAAATTATACTTTACCTTTTTTGTGCTGTACTATCTACTTTACTTGAAAGTAGAGCTCACTACCTCCTGAATGACAAGGAATGACTCAAAATTTGGCCCATTCTAAAATAAGTAATTCCAGGGTGCCTGGGTGGCTCATTCATTAAGCATTTGCCTTCAGCCCAGGCCATGATCCCATTAAGCATCTGCCTTCGGCCCAGGTCATTATCCCAGAATCCTGGGATCAAGTCCCTCATTGGGCTCCCTGTTCAGCTGGGAGCCTGCTTCTCCCTCTCCCACTCCTAACTGCTTGTGTTCCCTCTCTCACTGTCTCTCTCTCTCTGTCAACTAAATAAAATCTTCAAAAATAAAAGTAACTAATTCCATATCTTATCCGATTGGAAAGTAAAACTAGGCCCTCAGATCTTGTCAAGCATTTTATATCAAGTACATGGTTAGTGTTGAGAATCTGATTATTTTTTCTTCTTTTTTTGCGTATGTCTTCTATGCAATAAAATGTTTTTTTTTTCCTATGGTGTCTAAAGCTATACTTAATCCTAAAGTCTAGTTCAATCAATGTTGTTTGATAACTGAGACAGTTTTTCAACAGAATTACATAGTGTGTGCTTAATAGATTTTTGCTTCATTTTATAAATTTCTATAATGCTTTCATTGAGTATTAATAAAACTATTTCCCGTGACTTAAAGCAAATTCTATGTTAGTTTCTGTACTTATTTCCCATGGGGTTTGAAATATTTAACTTTTAGGTTGTTTGATTTCTGTACAGTTGATAGGGGCCTGGAGCCTCAGTATAATGTCGACCAAATTAAGGACATCCCCTAACTAAAGATTAAACAGAAACTAAACATTAAGGGAAAGATTTCAAAATTAGTACCATTATTATAAACCTCTAATAAGGCATTATTCACAGTATAAATTACCAACTGTCTTTGGTTATTTACTATTTGCAGAATCTGGGACTTACTGCTTTATTTCTGATGTGTCTTTTATGAATTATGAATGTGTGTTGTGTTTTAAATTATGAAATGTTCCACATAGTTGGATCATACGGTAATCATAATATGTAAGAAGCTTATCTGTTGTTTGAAAATATATGGGAATACTACTCAGTGATAAAAAGGAATAGCCTGTTAATACATGCAACAACATGGATCAATCAAAAACATACTGAGTTAAAGAAGCCAGACATAAGAGTATGTTTTGTATGATTTCATTTATATGAAATTACAGAAAAGGCAGTCCAGTCTATGACAGAGAGCAGATCAGTGATTGTTGGAATGAGGGGATGTTGACTGCAAAGTAACACGAGGGAACTTTTTGGGGTGATGGATATGCTTTTGATTGTAGTAGTAGTTATACAAGTGTATATATTTGTCAAAACTTCTCCAGCTGTGCTTATAATTGGTGAAAAAGGTGATTTTTGAAAGATCATATTGCTTCAGTGTTCTAGTACAGTATTTTCAGCATTATTTTCAGTATAGCCATCTTCAGAGATGTTAGCATACCTTCATTTTTGCTAAAGAGAAACACATTAGACAACTCAAATTCAGATCAATGTGAAATTAGCACCAGGCTAAGCTCAGAGAGTAGCCAGTCTCATAGGAGATGCAACTGCCTTTTATCTGAATTCTGATTCTGAATCTTGCCTTGGGAGGCACATTTTGAAGATGTGTGTGAGGATTCCTTTAATGGGGTTTTCTGCCTAATTAGTTATCTTCCCTATTTCTGACAACTTTCATCTCTTCTCAAACATCTTTAATCAGTTATCTGTATTCATCTTGAGTTTTTTTTTTTAAACTCATGCTTTCTTATAATATTGTCTGCAACTTACTATGTAAGGATTTTAGCTCAGAGGGTACACTGAAATTTACTTGATTTCATTTTTCTTTGCCTCTTTTCTTAGCCAGATTTCTTCCTTAAGATGTTATCACTTGGAAGCTCTTCTTTTACTTGTCAGTATTCTGGCTTCTGTTCTCATCATTTCCCCCCCAAAAATGGTTTTGAAATGCTACCACTCAACTTTAGTCATAACAGTTTATTTTCAGTGTTGTTGACCTCTGCATTTGAGGTTATTGATTTCCTCTTGATAGTGAAATTCTTTCACTGTGACTTGTGAAGCATTACACACTTACTTTTTTTTTAAACAAATTTTCATTTGTTTCCATGAATTTTTTTAATTCTTCTTTAATTTCCTGATTGACCCATTCATTCTTTAGTAGGATGCTCTTTAGCCCCCATGTACTTGAGTTCTTTCCGACCTTCCTCTTGTGATTGAGTTCTAGTTTCAAAGCATTGTGGTCTGAAAATATGCAGGGAATGATCCCAATCTTTTGGTACTGGTTGAGACCTGATTTGTGACCTAGGATGTGATCTATTCTGGAGAATGTTCCATGGGCACTAGAGAAGAATGTGTATTCTGTTGCTTTGGGATGGAATGTTCTGAATATATCTGTGAAGTCCATTTGGTCCAGTGTGTCATTTAAAGTCTTTATTCCCTTGTTGATCTTTTGCTTAGATGATCTGTCCATTTCAGTGAGAGCGGTGTTAAAGTCCCCCACTATTATTGTATTGTTGTCCATGTGTTTCTTTACTTTTGTTATTAATTGGCTTATATAAGTGGCTGCTCCCATGTTAGGGGCATAGATATTTACAATTGTTAGATCTTCTTGTTGGATAGACCCTTTAAGTAGGATATAGTGTCCTTCCTCATCTCTTATTACAGTCTTTGGTTTAAAATCTAATTTGTCTGATATAAGGATTGCCACCCCAGCTTTCTTTTGGTGTCCATTAGCATGGTAAATGGTTTTCCACCCCCTCACTTTCAATCTGGAGGTGTCTTTGGGTCTAAAATGAGTCTCTTGCAGACAGCAGATTGATGGGTCTTGTTTTTTTTTAATCCAGTCTGATAGCCTGTATCTTTTGATTGGGGTATTTAACCCATTTACATTCAGGGTAACTATTGAAAGATACGAATTTAGTGCCATTGTATTGCCTGTAAGGTGACTGTTACTGTATATTGTCTGTGTTCCTTTCTGGTCTATGTTACTTTTAGGCTCTCTCTTTGCTTAGAGGACCCCTTTCAATATTTCTTGTAGGGCTGGTTTCGTGTTTGCAAATTCCTTTAGTTGTTGTTTGTCCTGGAAGCTTTTTATCTCTCCTATTTTCACTGACAGCCTAGCTGGATATAGTATTCTTGGCTGCATATTTTTCTCATTTAGTGCTCTGAATATATCATGCCAGTCCTTTTTGGCCTTCCAGGTCTCTGTGGATAGGTCTGTTGCCAGTCTAATGTTTCTATCATTGTAGGTTACAGATCTCTTGTCCTGAGCTGCTTTCTGGATTTTCTCTTTGTCTGTGAGACTCATAAGTTTTACTATTAGATGTCGGGGTGTTGACCTATTTTTATTGATTTTGAGGGGGGTTCTCTGTGCCTCCTGGATTTTGATGCCTGTTTCCTTCCCCAAATTAGGGAAGTTCTCTGCTATAATTTGCTCCAGTATACCTTCTGTCCCTCTGTCTCTTTCTTCTTCTTCTGGGATCCCAGGTATTCTAATATTGTTTCATCTTATGGTATCACTTATCTCTCAAATTCTGCCCTCGTGATCCTGTAGTTGTTTATCTCCTTTTTTTCAGCTTCTTTATTTTCCATCATTTGGTCTTCTGTGTCACTAATTCTCTCTTCTGCCTCATTTATCCTAGCAGTTAGAGCCTCCATTTTTGATTGCACCTCATTAATAGCCTTTTTGATTTCCACTTGGTTAGACTTTAGTTCTTTTATTTCTCCAGAAAGGGTTTCTGTAATATCTTCCATGCTTTTTTCAAGCCCAGCTAGTATCTTTAAAATCATCATTCTGAGCTCTAGTTCTGACATCTTACTAATGTCCATATTGATTAGGTCCCTGGCAGTGGGTACTGCCTCTTGTTCTTTTTGTTGTGATTTTTTTCCATCTTCTCATTTTGTCCAGAGGCAAATAGATGAATGAGAGAACAACATGCTAACAGGGTAAAAACAACCCCAGAAAAATAGACACTAAATAAATCAGAAGAGACCTGAAACCAGAGGAAAAGAAAGGGAACAAAGGAAAAAAGAAAAAAAAAAAAGAAAAAGAGAAAAAAAACAAAAAAGAATATGATCAGATATGATCAGGCTGGTGAATAGATCAGTGCCACACGCTAGATTTTGGGCGTATTTGGTCTGTTAGAAAAAACTGCCTCCCAAAATTTTAAAAAAAGAAAAGCTTATATATGTGCAAAAATAAGGGTAAATACGATGAAGGGATGGAATATGACTGTAAAGCTTAAAATTATAAAAGATTTTATACAAGGAATTGACAAGAAGTTTGTTATGACAAACAAAATATATATATATATAAAATATACATATATATATACTAAAAAGGTTAACTACTATGAAGGGATAGAATATGACTCTAAAAATGAAAAATAAAGAAGATTTTTAAAAAAGGGATTGATAAGGGGGCGCCTGGGTGGCTCAGATGGTTTAGCGTCTGCCTTCGGCTCAGGTCATGGTCTCAGGGTCCTGGGATCGAGTCCCGCATTGGGCTCTCTGCTCCTTGGGAGCCTGCTTCTCCCTCTGCCTCTCTCTCTCTGTCTCTAAAGAATAGATAAATAAAATTTAAAAAAAAAAAGGGTTTGATAAGATGTTGGTTGAAAAAGGGAAAAAGAAAAATTCAAAAATAAAAAATAAAAAGAAAATTAAAAAAATTAACTTTGAAGGACTAAAGAATCAGGGGGAAAAAAGCCACAAATTCTATGTGCTGTATTCCCCTAGTGCTCAAGTTCTGCCATTCTCATTGATCAGTCAACTTGGTCTTGGCTGGCTGTTCTTGCTTATCTTCTGTCGGAGGGGCATGTTACAGTGATTCTCAAATGTCTTTGCCTGAGGCGGAATTGCCCAGCCCTTGCTGGGGTCCAGGCTAAATAATCTGCTCGGGTTTGCTCTCGGGAGCTTTTGTTCCCTGAAAGCTTTCCTTACTGCTTGGGAGGCCGAGAGTGAAAATGGTGGCTTCCCGGTCTCCAGCCCGGAGGAGCCAAGGACTCGGGGTCCCGCTCCTCATTGAGCCCCCAGAGAAAAGCAGTCAATCACTCCTGTCTCCCCGGTCTCCGACTGGTCTCAGTGCTCACCTGGTCTGTGACCGAGCGTTTCTATCTCTGGCTTCCCGGTCTCCAGCCCAGAGGAGCCAAGGGCTCGAGGTCCCACTCCTCATTGAGTCCCCAGAGAAAAGCAGTCAATCACTCCCGTCTCCCCGGTCTCCCCGACCGGTCTCAGTGCTCACCTGGTCTGTGACCGAGTGTTTCTATCTCTGGCACATGACCCCGTTTGGAGTCTCCAAACCCAGCAGATCCCTGGTGTGCTCCTGCGGTGCTCCTTCTGGGGGAGGAAGGGGAGTCTCCCTGGATCTGCTGCTTGTTGGGTCCCTGCTGGAAGGGCAGTGGCCTGTGTCGCGGATCATGGTTTATGGCAACCCAGAGCTGAGAGCCCACTCCTTGGCTCCATCTTTGCAGCCGGCCTCCCTGCTCTGATTCCTGGGAGCTCTGCCGCACTCAGGCACCCCCGTTCTTTCTCTGACCCCGAGGGTCCTGAGACCACACTGTCCCAGCAAGGAACCCCCCCACTTAGCCACTGGAGCGACGTCCCTCAGCAGAGCAGACTTATAAAAGTTCCGATTTTGTGCTCTGCTGCTCTATCACTTGCCGGAAGTGGCCGACGGAGGCCCCCTCCCCCGCCGTCTATCCTCCCAAATATCGCCTCGGATTCACTTCTCCGCACATCCTACCTTCCAGAAAGTGGTCGCTTTTTTGTCCAGAGAGTTTTCTGTTCAGAGAGTTGCTGCTATTTTCCTTGATCTCCTATTGAGTTCGTAGGTGTTCAGAATGGTTTGATCCCTATCTAGCTGAATTCCTTTGACCAGACGAAATTTAGGTCTCCTACTCCTCTGCCATCTTGCTCCTCCCCCTACACACTTACTTTTAAAATTCTCATCCTTGTCTGACATCTCTGTTTTCTAACTCTGAGTTTTCCACATGCTTGTCTCTGTAGTTGTGGCCTTATGTCTGCCTTTAATATGTGTTATTCCCCAAGAGAATCCACAGCTCCCTTCCCTTTTTCATTGATTGCTTTTCTTTATTTCTAGGCTTGTGGCTTTGGCATCTGTGCAGTAAGCCTTTGGATTACTTCCTCTACCTTATTTTCTCTCTTATTCCTGCTTATCATGCATAATTTGACTCACCTTCCTAAAAACTGTTTTGCTGTGCTACACCTCTCAGAAAGTTTATAAATGCTTTCTGTTGTCCTTTATTATATGATCTTAAAGTATATCAATTAGATATACTAGCCTTTTATGACCAATGCCTGCCTTCTTTTCATATTTGTTTGCATAATCTCTTTCTCCTCCTGCTGTCAACACCCAAATATTATACATACATCGCTTCTTTTTACTTCAATACCCTGGCTCATATTTAATCATTCAATCTATCTTTGTTACATTGCTTTCAAGACTGGGTTGAACAGTATCTTTCTCCAGTGCCTTTTTTTTTTTCTTTTGAGAAATTTTTATTTCTGGTAAGTTTTTTTTCTATTTTGTGAAAGTTGCTCAGTCTCAGTACTTACTACTTTAGCATGTGCCTATTACCATTGATTTATCACAGGCATGGAATGTTTTTCTAGTTTTGTGCTTTGTTTCCCAACTTGTTTATAAACTGATTAAGGATAGATATGATGTTTTGCTTTTTTTTATTTACATCTAGAATATGTTTCAATGGTATTTATATCCTTATTGTGGAGTTGAAGGATTTGAGGTATATTAAAGACTATATTGAAATGTTCTTGTTAAATATAATTTTGAGTGTTACTACAGTACACTCTGCTTTACTTATAAATTGTATATATTTAAACTTAATAGAATGGCATCATAAAATATGTACTAGAAACTTGTTTCAAAACTTATGAAGACCAGACTTTTCAATATTTACAGTTTTAATGTCTTTTTATATTTTTCTTAAATTATGCTTTATTCTTAGAACAAAGTACACTACTTTTTGATTGTTAATGGTTATAATATAGTAGGAAAACATTTTGGTTTGGGTTGTCTGTTTATCAATATGTTCAGATTAGCTCATTGCTTTTTAAAAGTCAAGTGTTGAAAAAAAACTTTTTTTTTTTGAGAGTAGTACAGGCCTTTTGGGCCTTATGAGATAAACATGTGAGAGCTGTTTGTTTAATTCCTAGGCTCCCTTTTTTGGCAGTGGAGGGGCTGTGGCTCCATCATCTTTTTCTTCTCGAGGACAGTATGAACATTATCATGCTATTTTTGATCAAATGCAGCAACAAAGAGCAGAAAATAATGAAACTAAATGGAAAGGAGAGATATATGGCCGAAGACATCCAGAAAGGTATGGCTGTGTTCTGCAGAAGTTGCTTATGCTTTGCTTCAGAGAAAATAATGAAAGTCATTTTGCATGTTTATCTACAGAGGAATTTCACCTGAAAAACATCTAGGATTTCCTAAGGGGCTACAGTTCATCACCATTTCCCAAATGCTGATGCTCTTAGAAAATGCTTTGAAAAGATTGACAATCATGTCTAAACAAGCCAATGTAAACAGGTTGAACTGTGATGATCCATAAATTGATTCTTGTGTGTAATTTTGTCTTATGACCTATATAGCTTAGAACCTATACTTTGGAAATGTCTTCTGTATTGATTGCAAAGAATATTTTGTTGCCTTCTGGATGCAATAATTTTTCTCAGGTGCAAATTTGGCCTTTGATTACATTTGGCAAACATGTACCTCTTCCACTTGCTTTAAATGAATCAGAATATATTTAAATGGAATCACACTTTATGCAAAATTTCAAAGCATGTCTTTTTTGTCTTTTTTTTCTCCATAGAATCCCACTTTTTGTTGGTTTTTTTTTTTAAGATTTTATTTATTTATTTGAAAGAGAAAGACACAGCGAGAGAGGGAACACAAGCAGGGGGAGTGGGAGAGGGAGAAGCAGACTCCCTGCTGAGCAGGGAGCCCGATGCGGGACTCGATCCAGGGACTCCAGGATCATGACCTGAGCCGAAGGCAGTCGCTTAACCAACTGAGCCACCCAGGCGCCCCCACTTTTTGTTGTTTTGGCTTGTTTTCTTACATTTGTCTCTGGTTGATAACTCCATGATCTTGTTCATCAGATTTTTCCTTTTCTTCCAGTGAATTAATTTAATATGATAGTAATCATTAGTTTTAATTTTCACGGTTCCTTTTTTCTTAAGTATGCATACAGGTTTTCCTAGATAGTCCCATTTTTTCTATAAAACACCTGTTTAAAAAAAGTAGATAGCATTTTGTGAAAATTTAGTTACATTGCCTTTTTTGTGTCATTTTAAGGAGAATACTTTTTTTTTTTAAGATTTTTATTTATTTGATAGAGAGAGACACCGAGAGAGGGAACACAAGCAGGGGGAGTGAGAGAGGGAGAAGCAGGCTTCCCGCTGAGCAGGGAGCCCAATGTGGGGCTCGATCCCAGGACCCTGGGATCATGACCTGAGCCAAAGGCAGATGCTTAATGACTGAGCCACCCAGGCGCCCCAGGAGAATACTTTCGAATGTAATAAACATCTTTATGATTCCCCTTAATTATAAAAGATGATTAAAATGTAGGTGAGCAGAGGTAAATAAATGAGGTGAATATAAATTAACATTATGAATTATACAGTAGCCTAAAATATTAAGCTAATTGTAGAGTCTATTTTTGAGAAAGGAAGGCTACCAACTCACAATATGAGTTTTTTTGATGAAATGGGAAAGCAAATTTTTGTGTGGCTTTTATCCTGTGGTGTTATGGATCTTTCTAGTATTTAATTTGGCTTTATTTTGCTTTATATTAAATCTAAAATAAATAAGTATAGTATAAAGAAAATAGGGAAAACTGTGTTATGTTTCTTCACATTGTTCAACTTCCAGAATATTTCTTGGTTATTCACAATTGGAATGACAAATAATGGACTACATTGGGCCATTTTTTATCAAACTCCTATTATAACCTTGAATATTTGCATATATGCAAATATATTTGCATATATTTGAGTTTCAAATTATCTTAAGCTACTTCTTCCACTATACCACACCTTCCATTCAAACTTTGTTTTGCATTAGATACAGTTTCACTATTTTAATTTTCAGTTTTAAATCATTTGTGGTTATGAGATCATTTTTATTTCATTTATATCAACTCTGGGCTTAGCAGTATTCAGACAGACATTTTCTTATGTTGCATGAAATTATTATTTTTTTTTATAGATTATTTATTTAACAGAGAGAGAGAGGACAAGTAGGCAGAGCAGCAGGCAGAGGGAGATGGAGAAACAGACTCCCCACTGAGCAGGGAGCCTGATGTGGGGCTCGATCCCAGGACCCTGGGATCATGACCTGAGCCGAAGGCAGACGCTTAACTGACTGAGCCACCCAGGTGTCCCTGTTGCATGAAATTATTGTTCTTTTTTTTTTTTTTTTAAAGATTTTATTTATTTGACAGAGGGAGAGATAGCGAGAGCAGGAACACAAGCAGGGGGAGTGGGAGAGGGAGAAGCAAGCTTCCCGCGGAGCAGAGAGCCCAATGCGGGGCTCGATCCCAGGATGCTGGGATCATGACCTGAGCCGAAGACACATGCTTAATGACTGAGCCACCCAGGCGCCCCATGAAATTATTGTTATTATTATTAATGATGGTAGGTATTTTTGAACACTTATTATATACCAAGTTGTATTTATTCGTCACAGCATCCCTTTGAATTAGGTATTATTCTTTTAATAAAGATGAAGAAATTGGCCGCCTGGGTGGCTCAGTCAGTTAAGCATCTGCCTTTGGCTCAGGTCATGATCCCAGGGTCCTGGGATCGAGCCCCACATCGGGCTCCCTGCTCAGTGGGGAGCCTGCTTCTCCCTCTCCTCCCTG